AGCATACTGGCCAGGGAATTCTGGGAGTTGAAGTCCATACGTCTTAAAGTTGCCAAGTTTGAAAAACACTGTTATAAACAATTCCATGCTGTTTTTTTTAAAATAGCTGTGATTTGCCATCGCTTTCTTCTCAAGTATGATGTTGACTCCCCAGTTGAATGATTTGCTTTAGGATTTCCTGGTGGCCTCCCATCCAAGTCCAAACCAGATCTCGCCTGGCTTGGCTTTTTTGTGATCAACCAAGGTCCGTTAGGGAAAACCTACTTTTTACAGGAAGATCCAGAGTAGGTGGAAAATTGGCAAATGAATCTGGTTATTCTTGGGACCCTCCAGAATTGTAGTAGCACCCACCCCACCCCTCTTCTCCTCTGCGCTGCAAAACAACTTTGGGTGTGATCCTCCTTGACTCGTACTCCCACAAACAACGGGGCACAACTTTGAGAGCAATCCCACCCCAACCCAGCCAGTCTTCCTGCGAGGAGCAGAGGTCCCTTTCTGGTAATTTCAGAGGCACATTTCTTGGTGAATTCGCTCACTTCTGGTCGACGGGCAAAGCAAAGCGACTGGAGCGAGCGATCTTCCTGTGAGTTGGTGCCACAGCCCTGATGGGCCTTTTTCTCGTGCGTTGCTGGGTTCGCCCTGTTGGCCCAGCCCAGCCCTGGGTTCGTTTTCACCCAGTGCGAGGAGCCAGTGAATCACGTGGAGTCACGGAAAGGGGATTCCAACGTTTTATTTCTGCGCAGAAACAAAGGTGCGCTCGGGACCCAAGTCCAAATCGAGCGCCTGAACCATCTTTTATACAGTGTAAGCAAGGAAGTACGTGTCTTAAACCTGCACACAAAGGCATCCTATCCCATAATAGTCTGGGGGGGATATTAGTGCGTGAGATTTCCACCTCTGGCTGTGCTTTGTAGCATGCTAATGATAAACTTCGGTTCCCCTCCGGAGCCTTGTCCGGACACCTCTAACCACAGCCGGAGCTGAATGCCACGTCTCCTCTCTTTCTTCCAGTCGTGGGCTCGCTCACAAAATTCCTTTCGCGAGGGGTCAGAGTTGGTTAGTCCAGGTTTGTGTGAACCCGCCAGCTAGCCCGCGCATGGTGGTCAGCCTACGAAGCCTTTGTGGCCAATGTTTCTAGCCCCTGCTCGCAAGGGAAGGAAGTGCTGATTCTTGACAAGCAAAAGCCCGGACAAAGCGATGACCACGGAACAACTCTAGCTGAAGCTAATTCGTGGCTTACAAAAGCCTCTAATGGTTTGTTAATAAATTGATTCAGGTGGCCCTCAGTGCGGTGTCCGAGGACCCAGCAAATTGGAGCTGGTTTCCTTGTTCCCAGGCCTGTATTTTGGCAGGTGTTTTGACTGAAGCTACTCAGGGTCTTGCCATTCCCACCCGGGGTGGAGGCCACGGCCTCCCTACCCATAATCTTTCAGGTGTTCACAGGAAGCTTTGATTTCTTAGCATACACGCAGCA